CCCTCAGTGGGCTGTTCGCAGCCCACCAGTATCACTTACACCCTTAGAGCACCGCAGACAACGGCTGAAAACAGAGCTACAGACAAGACAGCGACATGCACGTCTCCTGGCCCGATGCCAGCTGCTTGCTGATAACAAAGATGAGTGGTTGGAGGATTGCTTCTGAGCAGCTGGCTGCAAGCATGACCCTTAGGTGTGTAGCCAAGAGAGCCTGTTAGGCATATGATAGACACTAAACTACTGACTCTGCCTTGTCTGATTAGGATGCTGCTGTATTGAATTGCTTTGGTTTGCATTTCATTAATGTACTCTCATGTGGCTTTCTGCCCACCCACCCCGCTTTAGCATGAAGGTCTGCCAGCAAAGCCCTTTTGTGGTCCTATCATTAGATACTCGGAGCCTGCAAGCCAGTACAGCAGGCAATATGGGGACAATGGTCTGATTTGCTTTGCTTCCACATGGAGGTTTTGCTCCATTTTGGCATCCAAACCAGTGTTCCCTCTAAACTGAGTTAGTGTGAGCTAGCTCACAGTTTTTAAGCCTCTGGCTCACACATTTTTGTCTTAGCCCAGGAAGGATGGCTCCAGAGCAGACTAATGTATGCAGCAGCCAAATTGCTCGCTCACAACTTTAATGCCAGTAGCTCACAAAGTAGAATTTTTGCTCACAAGACTCCACAGCTTAGAGGGAACATTGATCCAAACTGGAGTTTTTTCTTAGCAATCACATGTCATCATTCTCTAATTGTTCACCTTCCAGATTTCCCCCTGCTTTGCAGCTATCTTTCCCAAATCTGGTTCGGTACGATCTTTTTGGAAAGATGACAAAGTCCCTCTGGATGCAGTGTGGATGGGAAGGTGTGCATTTTTAAGGTCCCACCCACATTGATTTAATTTTCCTTGACCCAGCCATTTTAACTGCACTTGAGCCACCGCAGCTCCTAGGACTAACTTAAAGCATCTCAAAGCCATAAGCAAGCTTTCAAGCTCTCTAGAACTTTTTTTCAAGCTGTGTGTTAAGCAAAATACAGTACAAGGGTGAAGAGGGAGAAGAGACGTTGAGCGTGATGGAAGGTCCAAGTCTGAAAACTCTTAAGAAGAGCAGAGGAAGCATCATACAGATTTACAGTACTATCCTAAACAGAGTCACACCTTTTAAAACAAAGGGGTATCACTCTTTTTAGGATTGCATTGTTAACTAGAATTAAGTCGTGCTGGGAACAAGAAAAGACTTCAGGCTGCACCAGTGGCTAAGGATGGAGGCGCAACAGCAGTATTTTTGTGAAACTGCTGTCCTGAATACTGCACATGGGTTGATTAAGACAGATTGATGGATTTGCCTAAAGTTGCACATGATGGGGAACTTGAATGTTATTACGCCTTGTTTCTTGAACGGGAGCTAATTGTTAGATGATGCTCTCATTCCAGAACAGAGCTATTGGGACACAGCCTTTCTCAGTTGAGAAGATAGAAGCAACAGGTAAGTATATATGGGAGAACAGTTTGGAAGCAAGAAAAGAAGGGCTGCAAATTATCTGAAAGCAAGGCTCCTTGGCTGCAGGATCACTTTCTCTGGGGATCTGATGTGGGGTTGTGGATCTCCTACTCTATTCGTAAACACAGCAAGTAATTGTTAGGACATCCTAAGAATGCAGGACTCCAGAACTACCCCTGTTGCCCCATCTCTCCTTATATATAATTGAATAGTGGGTGCCAAAGTTCTAATTCTAAAATGCACTCCCTTAGTGTATGGCTGATGGCACTGCTCCTCAGCATATATCGCCACCAATCAGAAGGCAAAGCCCGGGTCCCGCCCACACCACAACTGCTGCGACAACCTGGTCTTTTGCATATGGAAGCTGATTGGACTTCAGTCCATTCCACACCTCAAACTCCCCCCCCCGCAAGGCAGTTGGAATTTTCAGTTGCATAACATACCTCATAGGGGAGAGGAGAATGGGTAACAATGGTTACCACTCTCCAGGTGAGGGCTACAGATAACTCAAACATACAAATGCTCTTCAGGTAGCAGAGATCAGTCCCTCCGGAGAAAACAGTGGACTCTGTCATTAAACCCTGCTGAGGTCGCCACAGGAAACTGACACTGTTTGCCCAAAGCCAGAGCACTCTCCCAGAGCCTCTTTCAAGATCCCGTTGTATTTATTTCCGCAACGGGCATTATTTCTAGTCCCAGATAAGAGTGTACCGTTCTTCGGTCAAGGGTATACGATAGCTGCACTCCCCTGCTAGAACCTCCAAACAAGCTCAAAGTATGACTCTGTTAAGAATTGGGATAGTTCTAGAACCTCGGGCTCCTCTTGGTGTTCTAATTAGTGTCCCTTTTTAGCTGTTAGTTTGGCCAGAATACAGTTGTGACAATAATTCAGAAGAGATCCCTAGCACCTATGACTTATTGCCTGTGCAAGGCCAATTAGGTTCCCACATAGAGGCTGGTATGAAACAGGTAAATATGCCTGGTCAAAGGAGAACTGGGTGCATAAGCTCCATTTTGTGGGAAACTGAGCTGGAAGGATGCTGCTGTATTGAATTGCTTTGGTCTGCATTTCATTCATGTACTCTGATGTGGCTTTCTACCCACCCATGAAGGTCTGCCAGCAAAGCCCTGTTGTGGTCCTATAATCAGTGATGATGCTCGACTGCCTTCATTAAGGAGCAGGGGATTCTCTGTGGTGGGCCCTC